AATATGGGCCAACATTTCTAAAGAATGCTTTCAGCACCTTGTTGAATCAATGCCACGTAGAATTAAGGCAGTTCTGAAGACGAAAGGGGGTCAAACACCGTATTAGTATGGTGTTCCTAATAATCCTTTAGGTGAGTGTAAGGTCATATTCACAACAGGGATGCCTCAGAGAACAACATGATAAGCAAAATAATATTAAACATCAGCAGTCACATTGCAAACAGATTTAAAGGCTCCTGACATAAACAGCTCATGTAAATGTGAAAGACCAGGAGGCAGCGGGAGAGAGAAAGAGAAGCTCCACTAACAGAAGAAAACGAAACACAATAAAACACACTCCACCTCATACAGGGAGAGAGAAGGGTGTGTGTGAACAGACTCACATTGTAAGAATTCTGCTCTGGTCCTGGGCACTAATACCGGTAGGACGGTGTCTTTGGTAACTAGAAGAGACAGAGAGAAACAGGGATGTGAATAATAGGAATTTACTTGTGGGAGATGGACTTCACTCACTGTGGAGACACCAGAACTAGGGTATTAACATTATGTGGGCAGTTTAAAAATGTAATAATCATTCTGAGTGAAACACAATACAAATTTTCAAGGTTTTTAAATTGTATCATTTTGCAGAAACATGATTTCTACTACTTCAATGGTTTTCTGAAAGGTTAAATCATACTGGAAACAGAAACTGACTTGGTCACAAAAATGTGAGGTTGACTGTACTGTATACTCTCTCTGTATGGTCTGTACTGAACATCTACAGAGTGGAAAATGTATTTATTTATTAACCTGTATGATTGATCTGTGTCATTTTCTTTTTGCAAACATTCTCCAGTTGATCCTTCAGTTCAGAAACCACCTTCTTCAAAATCTCAAAATTGCAGCGTGGACTAACGGTGATTCTGGGTCCAATTCCAGCTTCCGGGGTGACAGGAAGACCCCGGAACATCTACAGACGCAAAGTCAGATTAAACAGCTTCATCATCTCTTGCTGTCTAGCTAAAAGTAACATTAATTTCTGACAAATGACAAACAAGTTGAAATACAAATGAAAACATACATCCATTTGAATAGTCTGGTTTTCTTATTGTCAAAGTAGCTCTTCTCTTACCTGGAGGAAATGGATGTGATCCTCTGTGTGTGAAAGCTGCTCCAGCTCAGAGTGTCTCCTCTTCAGTTCATCGATCTCCTGCTTCAGTCTCTCCATGTCTCCTTCAGCCTGACTCACTACAGCCTTCTCCTGATCTCGGATCAGCTTTGTCACCTCAGAGCATCTTCTCTTAATTGAGTGAATCATCTTGGTGAAGTTCCTCTCACTGTCCTCCACTGCGGACTGTGCTGAGCTCTGTTGGTGACACAGGGAGCAGAGGATGGTAAATTACAATTGGCCCCTTTTGAGACTCCAGAGAGCCTCATTGTACAATAGTGATGTGAACTGACAGGAGGTATAAAAACAGCACAGGGCTGGGGTTTGGAGCGTCACTATGCTGGATGCCTCAGGTACTGAAATCCAGCCATTACAGGACGTAAGTTGCCCATCTTAGAAGAGCCTTGATTCAAGCCTGAAATGGTTCCTACAAGCCAGCTGTTATCTTCTCCTCAGGTTCATACTCACTGTGAATGAGCCCACAGCCTCTCTCAGCTCCTGCAGCTCCTTCTCTCTCATCTGAATTCTCTGCTGAAATTTCCTCTGTGTTTTGCCCATTTGTTTCTACTCATGCGAAAAAAGATGATAAAATGAGTTTATTTAATTAGCTGATATCATATTCTTTAATCATCCTGTCCAGGGTGGACCCCAGCCTTGGGCCCTATGCTGCCTGGGAAAGGATCCAGGCACTCTCTGTGACCCTGACCCAGATCAGCGAGTAGGAAATGGATGGATGGATGGATGATCGGCTAATTGATGTTACTGTAGTAAAGAAAACAACTTAATCCAAGGTTGACCATACCGTTAAACAATGTCTGTCGGAACATTTTACATTTTATAGTAACATCTTGACGCAGGTTTGCCCCACTGAGAGCACAGCTACTGATAAAAGACATTTTCAGTGACTCATTTTCTGAGCATTTTCTTTTCATGCAACTTATCAGCCTTAATCATAATCTCTTTTTAATGCAAACGTATTCACATGTGACAAAAGACATTTTTATTTTATATAAAATTCATAATTTATATAAGACCATTTCTGGCCTGACCTGTTTCTCCGCCCATCCTGCAGCAGCTGAGACTGTATCATGGCCTCTGTGTTCATCCATCAAACAGGGATAACAGATACACTGCTGGTCGGTACGGCAGTAGACCTCCAGGGGTTTGTCATGGTTGGAACAGACCTTTTCCTTCAGATGGCTGGTGGCATCAATCAACTTGTGTTTTGCATGGTGGAGTTTATTGTGAAGTTGCAGGTCAGGTTCACAGTAGGAGGCCAGACACACCAGGCAGGACTTGACAGCTTTGTGTTTTCTCCCAGTACAGACGTCACACTCCACATCTCCAGCATACTGGTCAGCAGGAGTAGCTGCTTGTAGTCCAGTCTCCTTCAGTTTCACCATCATTTCAGCCAGTATGGTGTTTCTGCCCAGAACCGGTCTGGGTGTGAAGGTCTGGCTGCACTGGGGGCAGCTGTAAACTCCAGCATGATCCTCCTGATCCCAGTAGCTCTTAATGCAGCTCATACAGTAACTGTGTCCACAGTTAATACCCACTGGATACTTCAGTAGGTCTAGACAGATTGGACAGCTGAACTGGTTCTGATCTATTGCAACACTGGCTTCTGCCATTTTACCTCAAACACTGTCAGGATTCAGTTTTGTTTTCCCTCACAGTCATTTATGTGTAAGGGTGGGAGGAACGTCCTGCTTATCAGGCTGCGGCAGGTGTGGTTTTGGACTGAATCCAGACTGAGAAGAGCAGACTGGGCAAACACTGGAGCTGGAGTTTATCAATGCCCTGAATGACATGCCTGTGAGGAAACCCATCCATCCCCTTAAAAAATACTGTGTTTGTCCACAACTCACATGAGGAGAGCTCTGCTGAGAGTGAACTCACGAGAAGCAGCAGGACCAGACAGCAAACCTAACCGCATGTTCAGAGAATGTATGATCCAGTTGGCAGATGTCTTCACAGACATCTTTAACATTTCCCTGAGCCAGGCAGTTGTCCCCACATTTTCCACGAGTCTCTGGTTCAGTCTGTCATACCGGCCTTTTTAAAAAAAAAAAAAAATCCACAATCGTCCCGATTCCAAAGAGTAACAAGCCCTCAAGCCTCAATGACTATCGCCCTGTGGCCTTAACTCCGCTTGTCATGAAGGTGTTTGAGAGACTTGTTAGGAGCTTCATCTGCTCTTCCATCCCTAACTCCATTGATCAAATGCAGTTCGCCTACCGCACCAATAGATCCACTGAGGACGCCATCTCTCATGTCCTACACACTACCCTCACTCATGTGGATGGAAAGAGGGGGGATTATGTGAGAATGCTGTTTATAGACCACAGCTCAGCATTCAACACCATAGTCCCCCTCAGACTGTTCACCAAGCTGAGGGATCTAGGACTGAGTGACCATCTGAGCAGATGGATTCTGGATTTTCTTACAGGAAGACCCCAGGTGGTGAGAGTAGGTAGACAACTGTGTATCCAGCGCAATCACCCTCAACACGGGAGCTCAGAGAAGGCTGTGTCTCGCGCCCACTGCTGTACGCCCTCTACACCTACGACTGTGTAGCCACACTCAGCACAAATTCCTATGTGAAGTTTGCTGACGGCACAGTAGTGCTCAGCCTCATCTCCAACAATTATGAGTCGGCCTACTTGAAGGGAGTGGAGAACCTGGAAAGGTGGTGCCAACATAGTCTCCAGCTGAACGTCATTAAAACAAAGGAGCTGATTGTGGACTACAGGAGGCAGCGGGGCTCTTACACACCTGTCCACATCAATGGTGCTACAGTGGAGAGGGTGAGCACCTTGAAATACCTCGGCATCCACCTACAGGAGGACCTCACCTGGTCCACACACGCACGCGCTCTGGTCAACAAGGCGAGGCAGCGGCTCTACCATCTGAGGCAGCTGAGGAGGTTTAAGGTCTCTTCTGCTGTCCTTAAGGCCTTCTACTCGGCTGCCATAGAGAGCATCCTGACCATGAGCATCACATCCTGGTTCGGGAACTGCTCTGCCCAGGACCGGAAAGCCCTGCAGAGGGTGGTTAGAGCAGCTGAGAGCTGCACCAGATCTGTCTTGCCCTCCCTACAAGACATCTACAACAGCTGCTGTAGGACCAGAGCAACAAAGATCTTCAAGGACCCCTCCCACCCCAATAACTCTCTGTTTTGCCTGCTGAATTCAGGCAAACGCTTCCGCAGCCTTATGACCAGAACGGAAAGGTCAAGGTGGAGCTATTTCCCCCAGATCATAAGGCTCCTAAACCAGGGCAATATTCAATGCCTGTAAGTACTGCTTCACAATGTCCAAATTGTTGGCGCATCCCTCAGGCCTCTTGCACATTGGGTGTGCACAATACCTCTTAGCTATCACTTATGTATAGTTTATATACAGCTGAACATTTCATATATTTTTTATCTTATTATTTTTCCTTATTTTTTCTCTATATTTTGTTATCATGCACAGCTGTCCGGAGTGTCCAGGGTTACATTTAGGGCTGCAACAACTAATCGATTTAATCGATTAAAATCGATTATTAAAAGAGTGCCATCTAATTTAATAATCGATTAGTTGGGTCTACGTTATTATACACATAAGTACAGTGGCAACCCCCTAATTTGGGAGCAGTAAGCTAACCAAAGCCGCGGTGGCAGTAAAGTACCATTAAGCTGGAAGCCGACCGCCATAAAAGAAAAAGGTGACGAGAACCAATGGCGTGCCTTGAGTAGCTTACGTGATGAATTCTGGGAGAATTGAAAAAAACGTTTAAAAAATGGCGGAGGCGGACACAGCAGAGTCTTGCAAGAGGGTCTAGCTGCAGACGCCTGTAGAGTGGAGCTCCACCGGAAATACGTCACCTCCACAGGAAACACGTGATCTTTAAGGACGTAAAGTGGAGCTCCGGTTAGGGTTAGGGTTAGGTTTAGAGTTAACTATTTCACTGTCGCCGCCTAGTGGTTCGGACGCATACGTCCGGATTTTCAATAACAA